CTACTTTCTTACTAACATTTTTTTGTTTTATTCTGCCAGTAATCCTCCCGCTGGTGCCCATTTATTGTGAAGTTGTTGTAGGCGACGGAAGAGTACCATCAGTCGCAATTTATGCCCAACTTCCGCCTGCCCAGAAGCTGCTACGACCCGAAAGAAGCGACTCAACGACCGACTCCGACGTGCACGACAGCCACATCGCCGTTTCCGTGGCATGTCACGAGACGAGTTATGATACCAAAAAACCGCTTCTCGCCTCCATTAGACGTCCGAGGCCGCGCCAGACTGGCCCCATGTTCATCCAACCCTTTTAACTCGACCTGTACCCACAAGCATACAGACATGCAAACACACAAACGTCCAACCTTCGGTGGTCGTGCCAGGCCTGATGTATTGCCCAATAGACCTGGGATCATTTGTCACGACAACACGAAGGAGAGGCCCAAATCCGGCTCATTAGGCGACCAAGTGGCAGACCCTCGAGGGGCCGTCATACCAGCCGACCGCCTCAGAGACACTCACGCATACATGCTACTTCATGAATTGGGCAAACAGTAGCCGACCTTTCGGCCAAAAAGCCCTCCCAGTACCCCCTCCCGCGCCCACTCGCCTGGCCACATACCTCGGAAGCCCAAGCAACCGTGCCCCAAATGCCTCTCTCTCTCTCTCTCTCTCTCTTAGTCTGTCTTGAGACGACACCAGACCGGGATTAGATGGACGCGATCGCCAGTGGAACCATCACGGCGAGGCATAAAAAGCAGCTAATTACTCAAGATCCGAGGCCTAAAGGGATAACTGACTTGTCATGGATAGGCAACGGACGAGGGGTGGATATGGAAAAAGATGGAAGCATCGCCAACTGAGAGGATAGATAGATCAACAGAAAGAGGCTAAGTGCTTTGGTGATGGGCAATGCGGCTGAGAGGACGAACATGTGTTCCACCTTTGCTCCGCCCTGAGGTGTTTCGGGGACAGCCAACTTTTTCCATGTCATGGCCGGTGTTGTGTAAGACGAACAACTGCTCACTCTTCTTTATCGCCGCCCCTTCTCGGTACAGCGCGATTGTAGAGATGAATAGCGAATTGAGGCGAGCGGAAAATGGGGCAAAAGTTCACGCCTGCAGCCCAGTTTTTTGCAATCACTTTACATTCCACATCATCACAACCACTCGGAAGTGTCGGCCATGACGGCTCAGTTCCGGAGGTGACTGGTCTCTAATGTATACAAACATGTGTGTGTATGTGTGTGTGTGTGTGTGT